AAAATGATGGCTCGCATGGCAAAACAAAAAATAGTTGAAGTAACAATGATCTAATATGTTGGTTCGCATGGTAAAACAAAAAATAACAATGGGTAAATAAGAATGCATTTTGGTGGGTCCGATATATGGTCAAAAAATATATGCTCCTGCACTCCTAATGGTCAAAAAATATATGCACACTGTTCATACACACTAAAACACACTAAAATAGATTGTGTGAATCCGGGTTATCCCACCAAGCCTAATCATTTTCGCGGCTTAGATTCATGAGAATTTTTAGCAAACCAATCCTATTGGTTCAAAGAGAGTTGCACAGTGCTAAAATGTCGTGCAGCTAATTCCTATTGGTTTTAAAGGGAGGTGTGAACTGTTGACATGAAATACGTGAGAAGATGTCCAAAAATCACTGTTTGAATTACTTTATTTTTATTGGTTGAATGGGGAGGTGGGAACAGTGAAACCGATGGAGTGTATCTCATTCCTAACAAGTTGCAATGTCACGCTCATCTATAAAAGAAACCGTGGGGCATGAAGCAGCTTCTCACATTCATTCGGATATCAAAATGTAATAGCATAAGAAGGATCTCTTGAATCTCTGCACGTAATTAGGGATCTGAGTCTGAAAAGAAAATACTGAGTAGGAAAAAATAACCTTTTGAGAGACAAAGGCCTCTGTCGAGAAAACAGAAGGAGTTATAATGCAAAGTCAGACATCATCCATGAGAATAGCCTCATATTCAGATGGAATCAAAGATAATAACAGCGAAACAAAGAGGCTTTTGTTTGAGGGGATGGGAGGTCTTGGTTCGGCACTTCGGCTACTTGGGTGTCGTTAGGGAGATCCCCCATCGGTGACTTTCATCATCACATCCAGCAAGATCCGAGAGATGGAGTGAGGAAAACAATCAGAGATGGGTCTCCAGTTTTCCGTGCGTCAGAGCCGAGCGCCGTTCCTCCGGCGTCAGCACGTGGCGGCCGATGCAGCGCAGTAGCAGACCTTTCAGGGACTACGATGCTGGACGGAGGATGTGGGTTGCTCTCAGTTCGTCTATTGGAGGTCCGTCCGCCAGCACTTGCGAACAGATATCCGACCCTAGCAAGAAGAGAGCTCGAGGATGCTCTACAGGTCTTCAATCCGACGACAATCAAACTATCGAGGCGGTTGGAGGTAAAAATAGGGGAAGTCAGCAGTGGAAGTTACAGGCAGTGGAGATTACAAACAGCATTTGTGTGTTAAAATCGAAAGCGACGAAGGTGGGGAAGGGAGAAGGGGAGACGTTCTGGAAATCCGATCTAGAAAATACAGAGTATACATTTGTAGTGTTAGACTGTTTGTGGAGGTGGGTATGGGTAAATCCTAAAATTCTAGAATTTGAATACCGAGTATATATGTATTTAAATTCTAGAATTTAAATCCTAATTTTCTCTAATTAAATAAGCATTTCACAATAAGTGATGAGAGTGATCCGTTTCATAACTCATATTTTTGACTTGAACTAACTTTATTGGTAAATAAATACAAAATTTACAATTAAATTAAGTAAATTTTGATGTATACTTTATTTATTAGTTAAAAATATGAGTTATTAAACGGAGCAAAAAGAACTACTTAGTACGTCATTATGATTAGATTTAATGTGTTTTGAAATCAAATGTGCTTAAAACCATTATTATTTCGAATAGGGATTCAACTCACTTTTTTGGAAACATTCAACTCATTTAAAATAGTAGGAAAACTTATATAAACATTATTTTAACATTTTTTGACAAATTTATATTGGGTAGAAAAACTTACTCCCTCAGTCCCAATTTGTAAGATACATTTACTATTCACTTGGTCAACAAAAATCACTCTTAATCTTTTATTTTATATATCAAAAGTTTATGAAATTTGAATTATTTTTTGTAGATTTTGTAGCGGTTTTAATGTAGTTTCTGAATATGTAAATTTTATTTTCTAAAACTAATTTGAGTGTTGACAGTGATCAATTTGCTTTATCGTCGGTCAAACATCGTAAACCGTAAAGTATCATACAAATTGGGACGGAGGGAGTATATAAACATTATTTAAACATTTTTTGACAAATTTATATTGAAGAGTTTTAAGGATGTTTGTGTTTGGACTTATTTCAATTTCAAATCAGAACAAACCAGGTTAGGCTTAAACGGATCAGATCACACCAGATCAGACTTCGACATTTATAAAATACATATAGTCCAGATATCTACCAGACTAGACTAAACCAGACCAAATAAAACTAGATTAGATCAGATCAGAAACATTCAATCCAATTAAAAACACCTTAAGAATGACATAAGTATTTTCACATATCTGCACTCCAACTTTAATCCATTTTGTATTGTTCAACTATTAGATTCATTTTTAGCTCACCTCAGGTTATTTAACAATTTCTCATTGTCTTACATTTTCCATAACAACAATAACATACACTTCTTTTGGAAATGATCATCCACCGTGCATCGCACGGGTACCGTACTAGTATTGAATAGAAAATAGGTGGATGGAATGTCAAATATGGGAATCTCTACAAATGAGTAATGGAGTGGGACGGATGAGAAGACCACCTGCTGGTTGCTGCATATGAGAAGAAGACCAACCGGTGCACTTAATGGATGAGAATAGTAGAAAGTCGAGTTTTATTTTTCACGCAAAAGAAGGGTAGTATATGTCTAACACCTCCCTACTCCCCAAATTGGGGTGTTAAAAATGTGAGCATTTGAGGTGTTGAGAAGGTAATTCTCAACACTTTCTAACACTTACTAACGCCCTTATTTTTTTAAAATTTCACTTCCAAACAGGTGTTGTTTCCAACACTCCTAAACACTTCCTTTACTAACACCTCTTGACACTCAATCCAAACAGGCCGTTATTTTTTTAAAATTTCACTTCCAACAGGTGTTGTTTCCAACACTCCTAAACACTTCCTTTACTAACACCTCTTGACACTCAATCCAAACAAGCCGTTATATGATCCTTTCTTTACTAGAAGGGCTTAAGTGATGGATTGAAAATAGTAGAAAGGTCTATTAAACCTTTTTCCCAAAAAATTATTAAAATCTTTGGCTAAAGGGTCAAATAGGTACATGAACTAACTTAAAGTGTTCAATTAGCCCCTTATATAGGAGGTTCTGCCCGGCCGTCGCCAATTGGGGCGGTTCCCGGTGGAATTTTTTTATGACAATTTTTTAGCATCTTCTTCATTAAGCCTAGTTTACTCATATCAAATTTCAGCTAAAAAATAAATCGGGAAGGCAGTCAAATGATTTTCCAAAATGTACTGTGTTGTTTACCTGCGCAGTTATCTTCATAAAATCATTTGAATGCCTTCCCAGTTGAATTTTTAGCTGAAATTTGGTATGGATAAACTAGACTTAATGAAGAAGATGCTCAAAAAATTTCATCAAAAAATTCCACCGGGAAACGCCTCAATTGGCGACGGCCGGGCAGAACCTCCTAGATAAGGGGCTAATTGAACACTTTAAGTTAGTTCATGTATCTATTTGACCCTTTAGCCAAATTTTTTAGTTACATATTTCGCAAGATCATTTTTTTTTATTTTTAAAAATAAAAGATCTTTTTTGAAAATTTATACATAGTAGATTCTAAGAGAAAGTGTGATACTTTTAGTATTAATTAATCCCAACAGCTTATTATATCAAACAGAACTAAATTAAACCCACGGTTTGTATTAAATAATTACAATCTTTTTATTTTAAGATTTTTTCAATTGCTAAAAGACATCCGTCATTAAAAACTCACAAACATATCTTTTCTGCTAGTTTTGTCAAGCTATTGTTGAGGTTAAGTTCTCACACCTCGAAAGTCCAACATAGATCTCTGGGGTTGTCGGATATGTGAACTAAATATTTCAGAGAAATTGTTAATTAGTGAATCGATGGCAATACTAAGAATCAAACAAGGAAGGAGCTAAAGTGAATATGACTGGTTTTCATTCAACGAATACGGAACGCGTACAACACGCCCTTACTGAGCTCGAGCCTCTAACCTCTATTATATGCTGAGAGTTATAGAGAGAGGGGGGGGGAGAGAGTAGAGAGAGACTAAGGTATTGAATGCAAGTTTGGCAACATTTATAATGAAATAGATGTGAGTATTTATACTACAAGGCGGTAAGTGGTGGAGGCGATGTGGCGTGTTTTGATTAATAATCCCCAATCATAAAATCTTCCACATGCAGTGCATTATTGCGCTTTCCTCCAATTCTTGGTTTTTCGCCAAACCCTGGGTATAGCAAACCTTGTTGCGAGAAAGCTTGCAAGTGTTTGGTTCCATTCCATACGTATGTGTTCTGAGCAAGGTATAGAGTCCGGATGGGATGGATCCCCCGGTCGGAACAGAGTAGGATTATTCTGGGAGCGAGCTAGCCAGACCCGTCCGAATAACTATCGAGATACAGGGGCTGTCTTTTTTCAAGGCTAGTTCGTTTTTAACATGCGATCCTGCGGTAAGTTTTTTTATTTTTTCTTTTACTCATTTTAACTTATTCTAATTATTATTGTTATTTTGTTCTTGCATTTGGTGGTTTGTCTGGTTATTTGTTTAAACTCAATTTTTTTATCTGGTTAAACTCGCATTTTAATATTAATTTTCTAACAGGAATTACTTCAATGGCTTTGACAAATGAGATATTTATAGGAATCTTCTTAAAACCTATTGGTGATAAGGAGGTGTACAGTCGCCGTAGATCCATGATTTCGTGTTGGGGTGAGCTGAAACACTTAAACGATAATACATTGAAACTTTTCAAAATAAGCAATATACTCCCTACGTCCCCCTAAGTTTGTTCCGTATTACCATTTTGGGATGTCCCACTATTTTTGTCTCATACCCTATTAGGAAATAAAAAAGTAAAGGTAATCACAAAAATACCCCTGTTTTAAATTTAAAATCACTCCTTTATCATTACCTTTTCTGACAAACTGACTGCATACTTCGTATATGTACGCGTACATCCTAGCCGGTTGGGATACACATACCAACTCTCTCTCCCCCATCTTTGGATCTGTGATACCTCCCCAAACCCACCATCTTCACATCCTGGTCTTAAGTAAATCCGATTCCACCAAAACGAATTTGGAAGGGCTAATTGTTGAAGATAGTGAAGAGAGTGCCAATTTCGAAGGGCTAATCGTCGAAGATAGTGAAGAGAGGGCTGATTTCATTCCTGAGACGGAAGACGCTGAAGTCAATTCGTATGGCAATTCTTCATCACTTGTTCCTTCCCGAATTGAAGCTCCTAAGGCAGAAAAGGTGTTCGTTCCTCCTATCTGGAATCGTGAAACGCTGAAGATGGAGCCTCCCTTATTGAGCCCTGAAGTGCAGAAGCGGGAGGATGATTTTATAGTTAGGTACTCCGTATATATTACCTGAATGGGAGAAGTATTGCCCAAAATCTGGCCCAAAGTGAAGGTAAAATTCTTTTATCTTCTCTTCTTCATATATTCAGATTTTCTTGATTTTTTTCAATATTTTAAGAGTTCATCCTGACTGCTTCTGGAAAGTAAATTTTGGATTTTTTGTGCTTTCTTTTTCTTAATCCATATTTCTTCTATGAATTTTGGTTTGGATGGATTCTTAATTAATCCTGATTGCATCTGTATTCTTTATCAGTTTGTCCATATGACTCAAATTGTAAAGTACATATTGAATTAAAGTAGGCACTTCATAGCCAATATTAATAAGCATTTCATACACATAATCTCAAAAATATATTCCAATTACACATTAATACTACCTTGTCTTGCCCATTGGAGTTGGCATATTATATACACAAAAAGTTCAGCAAAATGTAGCAAGCAAAAATTAGATGTTTAGGCTTAAACATCCTCAAAAGGTAAAAAAATATAGGATGTTTATGGGGGGAATTTGACTTTGCACCCCACTTTTTGAATGATATTGGACTTTGCACTCCATTTTAAAAAACCTTTGATTTTGCACCCCATTTCACTTCAAAATCCTTTGACTTTGCACCCCATTTAAAAATTTTCCTTCACAAATGTTATATGATAGGGTGCAAAATCAAAGTTTTTTTAAAATGGGGAGCAAAGTCTAATATCACCCAAAAAATGGGGTGCAAAGTCAAATTCTCCCATGTTTATGCCCAAACATGATCTGCCTTTACCCTTGTAGTTTGCATATAGCTAGCCTTTTTACCCAACTTGAAACTTGATGTACTTGACTGCTTACTAATTATCCGTAGTGACCATAGCTTCATTGAGGTAATTCATAACTTCCTCAATCAGTTGGTGAGTAACTGATGCTTGTTGCTCCAATCGACCCTGCTTCTTTTGTTTTGACTTCCCAATGTGAGGCACCTTATACCTATTACATCCCTTTTTCTTCATTATTTCAATCATGCAGTACTGAAAAGTAATCCAAACATCATTCAACGTATCTGCTTCTAGCTTTTCAAATGCATTGTTCACAGCTTCAATGAGGTCATCCACTGTTTTCTGTTTGTATTCTTGTTGTAGGGATTGAATAGATCTAAAAAATCCCAAATCTAAAACATTTAGATCTGGGCTGTTAGGAGGTTGGTATATGAGACGAATGTCCCACCCGTCTCTTGTGGCAGCCTCCACAAATTCTGGGTCGGAGGGCTTAATGTGGGGTCTAGCGTTATCTTGTTGAATGAAAATAGTCTTACTTGCACTTTGAGGCCACTTTTCCTTGATAGCTGGTAGTACCTTGTTTAACAGACATTCTTTTGTGACTTCTTTGGTGATGGAAGTCACTGCTTTTGTCTCCAGTGTTCCCTTTCCCCTGTTTTTGCTTCTTCTTTTTGCTGGTTCAGTAGTTGTGAATGGGAACATTCCTATCTTACCATCAAATAAAACTTCACCATTTGGACCAAACAATGGCCTAACAACTGCAGTCATGAACATAATCTTAGTTATGAAACTTTTAGATTTGCAAGTTCTATGTGGATCCATTTCTTCTAGAGTCATATAGTACTTTTGACTTGTTTTTGTCAAAAAGAACCATTTTTCATCAATATGAACGTAGTTTTGATGATCAGTGAACTTAGGATCATTCAACAATACAGTAGGCTGAAATTGAGAAAGCACAAACATGAGCCTTTTTCTTTTGTTCTCTTCAGTTAAATAGAGTTTGATTGCACTGCTGTGGCTTCTCAGTTCACCTCTTTTTACAGCCCTATGAACTGTGGATTTGCCCATGTTCAAAGCCTTTGCAAGTATTCTTATGTTAGTTCTCTGTTCTAGTGGAATTTGACTCACCATAGTGATGTCTACTTCCTTCTTTGGCCTTCCCTTTTTGCCCGGAATTTTGGATTTCACAATAATCTCTTTATGTAGTTGCACCTGTCTGCTCGCTTGTGCCCAGATTCTACTTACTGTTTTTCTGTTCACATGAAATGCAGCAGCTGTCTCACTTATGGAGCCCTTTTGCAAAGTACCACCAAATCGATGCCTTTTTTCTTGAAGGACATCAACAATGCACTGCCTTTCAGCATCTGACAAGTTCCTCTTCCTTTGGGTTGTAACTAATGTAGTGATATTCATTTTGCTTTTAATATGTAAGGGATAAACCTGCACGCAGGTTGGTGTACGTCTTTAATGCCCCAGACTCCATTTATAGAAGGGCTTATGTATGTAATTGTTGGAGACTTCAACATTTTGGGGGGATTTGAAAATTTCAAGTGGTAAAAATTTAAGTTTCAACTGTAAGCTTTTACTTTTTGGCGCTAAAGTTTGGCGGTAAGGATTTTCAGCTTTTACTATTCTGAAATGTGTGCCCAGAATAGTGGGGTAAGGATTTTTTTTAGAATCAATAATGCTTAAATGTGTCCAGAATAGTGGGGTAAGAACTTTTAATAATCTGCAATGCTGTCAAGATGGTGGGACATGGGTTTCGTATATCTTGTACTGCTTTTGTATAAAGTAACAGTAGTGAACAGTGCATATATGAGACCCAATTCGACGCTTTATGCATTTCACTTGGTATTCGAGCCACTCCCTTCCGTCCCAAACTTAGGGGGACGGAGGGAGTATCAAATATAAGAATTCTTCGCTAAACCTATCCTCGACGAGACTTTGAAACAAAAAAACTCGACAACGATAGAGCCTACATCTACACTAAGAGTAAAGTCTATTTCAATATAAAGCGTCATGCAATCAGCAAGAAAGTCATCCACCATTCTGTTGCGGAGTGTTGTCTTCAAAAGTTTCCTAGTAGAAAATGATCGTTCTGATGTTGCAGTAAAATCAGGTAGGATCAATACAAGGCGATCAATCTTCTTATCATAACTTATGAATCGGTTTTTCTTCTCTTAGTCAACTCCTCACATAATTCAACAAGTGTAGATACTTGAAACTTGGTATCAGGAATCACATCATGAACATAGTGTTGCAGCTCGAATTCCAAAGCAAGAATATCCTAACTACTAAAACCTTCGGGATAGAACTTTCTTGCAAGAGTACAAATAACATCGATATTGAATGACTCAAATAAATTTTTGGGATCCAATGAAGCACTCAAAGAAAGGAGTTCCACTGATTTGTCATTAAACCGGGTTCTTAACTCCATCAGTACAAAGTCTATTGTGTCACTGAAAACATCAAAGTGATAATGATGCTCAGTTGTAACTTGTTTTTGGCTATGACCAATCATATATTTAGAATTCAGCTTCAGTACATGAATTTCGTGTTTTGAGCAAAATTCCCTTACTTCTTCGAGAATGTCTTCCCGCCCATTTTCTCGCAATTCCCCGAGAATAAGTTGGGTAATAGAAACATGTCTCATAGCTAGCAAGATATCCAATGCTTTTCTTGAAGCCCTTGACATAGAATACCCGTTATTCCCATAATTTGTGGATCAAAAGCAAATTGATCACAAATTCAAAACATGCAAAGTGTCTATATACACTAATGAACTTCTGTCCGAGAACTCACTTTTGGGCAATGTTCTTGCAGAAACTCAAGCACTTTGCAAGTTGCTTTGAACATATCAATCAGACTCTTAATTAAATCATAGTGGGAGCTCCAACGCATCGCTCCAACACGTTGCAAATTACCAATTTGATTGGCTCCACTTCCAGATTCATGCTCTCTTGTTTCCAACATATGTTCAACTTATATTATTTGAGCACTTTGTAGTTCACTAATTCACTGAGAAGAAGAATTGACAATACTGACAACATTGTCCAAATGAGAAAAAAACTCCCAAATAACGCTAACATCTTTGGTTGCGCACATGAGTACAAGTTGTAGCCTGAGAGCAAAGCAGTGAACATTATGTGCACAAGGATAATCCCTAAGAAATAATGGTTGAAGACCATTCCATGTACCTCACATGTTATTAGCACCATCATATCCCTAGCCTCTCAATTTTCTAAGGTCAAGGTCATATCCGACAAGAATATGAGGTATGTCGTTCTTTATGCTCAATGACGTCATACTAATAACACTTTTGATGGCAAAAAAACACTCAATCAAAACACCACGACTATTCACAAATCTCATAATGATGGTCATTTGCTCTCGATTGGATGCATCTCTTGCCTCATCTACAAGAATACAAAAGCACTCATTTCCGACATCTCCACAAATCATTTTTCGTACTCTGTCACCCATAATGTTCAAAAATCCTTTTCAACAGTTGGATCAATGTATTGAGCATTCTTGGGAGCATTATGTAACACAACTTTGTCAACTTATGTGTTGTACTGTGCAAAAGCTTTCAATAATTCAATAAAGTTCTCACGGTTCAAAGAAAATGAAGATTCATCGTGGCCTCTAAATCCAAGACCTTGAAGTGCTAGTAACTGGATAGCCATAACAGAAGCCTTTAAACGCAAACGGGTTTTTCCCGTTTGATCTTTTGTTTGTGCACGAATAAACTTTTCGATATGTTGAGAGAGTCTCATTAAATCTTCAACCATTTCCACACATTTCAAGTGTGGTGAAGAATTAGGTGACGTCCCAACACGAGTAAGAAAAGCACAATGAATTCCTTGGTTTACTCTCTTCCAATTGTCAGATCCCACTGTAGCCAACACTGATATACTTGTTGTATGCACATCTTCCAGAAATAGGATGCAATAGAATCAATATCCCTTGTCTTCTGAGGGTGAATATTCCAACCACTTAAATTGGTTAAACCGTTTTTTCTGAAAGCTATGATGTTGGTTTCCAAATTTAGTCTTTTTGTAGCTCAAAAGTGGTGGTTGATTTGGGTCAGGTACTAGATATGCCCGCCTAATTTCATCTCGAACGTTAACATTGAATTCAGAAATTTGTTTTCTTTTTCCAGGATCCTGCACAATACAAAAAGACGATTGACATTCATGAATAGTAGAGGGAGTTGTATTAGCGTCAGCTCCTGATGATGGTGGTGTAGTTACACATTCAGGAATTGGAGATGGAGTGGTATTAGTTACAATTCCTAGATATAGCGGTCTAGCATCTATAGATGGAATATGCACACTAGTACTTGGTATACTCTCACTGCTTGGATTATCTTTCTTTTTTTGAAGTATGAGTGGACTGTTTTTTGAATGGGTTGCATCCTTAATTTCAAAATAGATAAAAAACAATATATCCACTATAAGAAAAAGGAGCAATGAAAGAAGGGAAAGACAAAAAACATAACCAAATTACCAATAATTCCCTATAGTTAATTAGTTAATTACTCAAACAAACAATTATAATACACGATTATACCAACACATCTAAGTGACTAAGTTAAACATGAATTTAATTTTGAGTCTTTGACTTAAGGACCTAACCTAACATATAGTTATACCAATTTGTTAAACTAAATATAAATGGTGTAATTGATCCATCAATTAATTAGAAACTATCAAAAATACCAAAGCCCTAATGGCCTTAATAAATAATTAAATCAGCAACTCAATCCTAATTCAGAATATTACCTGGTGCCCTGGTGGCTGGAGGCGAGGGTAGTGGAGCATGGTCGGCCGGACGTGCGGACAGTGCAGCAGTGGCGCCTAGCGGACGGCGGAGTCACGGACTGATGTTGCGAGTCGCCGGAGTCAGATTGCTACCTTAGAGCGGTGCCTTGTGAAAATAGGAAGTCGACAATGAAGGATCAAACCGTCGAAGGCAGTTAGAAGGTTGCCCACTTGCCCGCTTCATTCCGGCCGCAAGCTATTATTAGCCTATTGCTTTTCTAATTTTCTTTATTGTTATTGAATTTGGGGCTTTGGGACTTTTTTTTTAGCCTAGTGGATTAGGCTGATATATTTTTTGAGCTAAATAGTAGAATTCATTATAAGATTTTGTTTTATGGACTGGGCTAAAAATTTGAGCTTGATTGTAGAAAAATTTTGGCTGGGCTACAAAAAAATTGGTGTGGGCTAGATGGATTTTTTTAAAAAATAATACCTTATTTTTTTTTGTGGTAATTACCCGTATAGTTCACTTTTAATTACCACATATCATTCATGTCTCACCTATTTTATCTTATCACTTCTAAACTTTTCTCTTTTCAAATTTGTATTTTTATTTCACTTTTGGACCTGTTTTGCCGACCTCCTCCGCAGTCCAGTATTCAGTAAAGTCGACGAATATATGAGAGAAGGAAGGGAGTTTCTCAACGTTTCTCGTTGCCGGGCGGAGGCCTGGAGATCGGCGTTACTCGCCTCTAATCGCCAATGGAGCTGAGCCTGGTTCCTTGTTCCAGTGTATTCAGGTAGCCAAGAGATCGATCTGATGGATCTTCTTCTGGCGTCCACGCGAGAGCCTTTCCGAGGAAGAAGATAATTAACCTTCGTACCATTAGTCAATTGATGTTCCATTCTTCTCCGTCGTCCAACTCTCACAGGAGGTGGAATAATTCATCTCGCTCTTCTCCACCAGTCATCGATAGAAGTAGCTTCAGTGTCATCTACTAAAGCATCTTCTCAAAATCTTCCCAAGTAAACTCTCTCATTCCCGTATATCAATAAAATAGACACACAACATTCTCCTGCACCAGACTAAAGTTCTAAAGAGATGAATCTTTTTATGCAGGTGTCCTTGGTGTGTGCTTGAAGGATTTAATTTTCAGAGTATTAGCCGTTAGCAGGAACCATAGTTCTCTGACCGATATATACATCGAGGAGATGGCGAGGGAGAGAAACAGAGCTCGCTCAAGGGAAGAAAAGATGAATTAATTAGACGCTCAGATTCCTCGGGAAGAGACTATTCCAACCAGGATAGTAATGCAGTCATTAGAGCCACGATGATTTACAGTTCTGGCATCAGAAACCTCACCTTTTCAATCGAGGTTTACATTTTCCGCTTGTATATTTAGTTATGAATTGAAGTTTATTCATTCTTATTAAACTTCTTTTTGCAGCCTACTAAAACAAAACTGAATAAGTTTGAAACTCATGACAAGGTTACACCAAAAAAATTATAAGAAGAGAAATTATTGATCCCGGAAACACCAAATATTAAACGAACACCTTATTCACACTTAAGATGTTTATGACTATAAGAATGTTGTTTCTGCTCCAGCGAATTCCTTTTAGGCAGTATATCAATTGCTATAACGTACCGTTTTGCACTCCAATTACTGAGAGGTATCACCCGTCAAATATTTATTTGGTTTTTCAAATGTTAAAATCTGCAATGAGGATGTGGAAGTAGTGATTTGTTGTGAGCAAATGTTAAATTCAAGTGTGTCCTTAATGATTATGTAACTTTTTTAATTGATCGAATCAGATTAACATGTTAAATTAATATGCAGATGCTTGGCTCCTCCATTTTCTGCCATTAGGGGGATGTATATTTCTTATGGACTGCTTTTACCCCGGTTCCACAACTTATCCTTTCTCAAATTGCAGATCACTCTTCATATGTTTGTCTTATGATAGTGAGGAAAATCATCTACTCTTTATTGTTATATACATTTTAGTTTAACTGTTTGTTATCCCTAATTGTTGTCTATGTAGTTATTATATGCATATACTACTTGGTATGAGAGGTTCTGGCGTTTCCTCTGAACATTATGTTGTCGTGTTTTTCATGCGCAGCTTTCACAGGTTCCTTAAATTAGCTTTTATTTGCATCTATTGGTCAAGTAGATTGTGATTTTAGTAAATATGCATCTCTAGGAAGTTTTATTTTTCTATATCTGTACTAATGTGAATGTGTCCATTAGATTCATCCTCCTCACTCCTTGGCTCTGGTGAGTGAATTTGTCATTTAAGTATATGGGTTTGGTAAGGCTTCTAGTAAGCCACATGATTCTCAAAATAAGATGTAGAAGCAGGTGTTGAAAATGATCTTGCTCAATACCATATCTGTTTCAACAAGATGGCAGAAGTTTGCTGTTCTGGATGAACATGATAGCATTTCTAGGACTAGAACTATAATGGCTATCTGGTTGAATTTGACAGAATACATGAAGGCAGCAAGTTCATCTGCTCATAAAGTGAGGCATAACGCTCCTAATTAAAATCTGTGGGGAAATATGAATCAAGCAGAGAAGCTCCAGCGTCCAGAGAAGCAGAGAATTCTCTTTCTTCTTCTGTATGGTTTGCTCATAAGATGCCCTCAAGGAGGTTAATTCATGAAATAGCACAATTTTTTTTTCTTTGGGCATCACAGAGGAAAAAGATTCAAGATTTTGGATCATTATCTGTGATCGGCCATCAGCTAACATACATTGACTTCCTTTAACTGTGCATAAACCGAAACCTCAATTATGGGAGGCATTGCTGACAACATAGGTGATATACTAATCATTGGGCAGCCACTGTAGAGTTAAATATGCTAAAAGCATGGTCACAAACAATATTGCAGGAGATAAAGGCAGTGCTCTTTTAAGAAATACATACATTACCAAATGTAAGGTTCTCTTTCAGGGAGTTTCAAGTCTTCTAGAAACTTGGTTAAAACAGTACATTTTGAGAAATAATCTCTCAACAGATGCATGACGGTATTATTATCATCTCTACTCAAGAGGAATGACATTATTATTGGACTTCAAGAGTTTCTTGTACTTTAGTATAAATTGCAATAATATAATTTCGATAAACGTTAGACAAATAAGTTGATGTATATATATTTATCAAAAGCTTGTGTGTTGAATTATATTCATTATGTTAATTGTAGTGTGTTGCATTTTGTTTCATGATGTTGTATTTTGTTGCACCGTGTTGTTTTTTGTTGCATCCCGTTGCTTTGTGTTGCATTGTGTTACTTGTTTTTGTTTTATTGTTGATCTTGTTTTGTGTTGTTTATTTATGTTTTATTTATCTTTGTTATTTCATTGAAGTAAAAAAAACCATATATAGACTTATATTCAATTACCTAAAATGATAAATTTGGATTTATAAATATAAACAAACTAAAAGAAACATAAAGAAACAATAAAAAACAAAAAAATAGAGTTATCAACAAAAAGAAACAAAAAGAAACAATAGGCAACAAAAACAAACTCCAAAATTATATAATAAGTATTGTTAAATTCTTCCATAAAAAAGTATTGTTAAATTTTTTAATTATTTAAAAAAAATTACAAGATTCACATTCCTAAAATATTTCATTTGTTTAAATGTTTAGTTTTCTTTTTATTTTTATTTTCGAATTTTATATTTTTCATGTTTTTAGTTTAATTAAATTTTATGCTATTTATTTTTAAAAGTAAATTTCTATTTTATTTTATAGCATTTAATTTGAGTTTTTAACTTTAGCAAGTTTAATTGTTTATTGAACTATTTTTTTAATTTGTATATATTTCAGTTTCTAAAATAATAACTGTTTTATGAAAGTTTTGATTGCCTATAATAATTTTATTATTTTTATGATTCTAAATACTTTTTAGTTTGATTATATTTTTTCATTTTTGATAATTTTTTTCTTTTTATTTATATATTTTCATTTTGTTTTCAATTAATTTTAAAAAAGAATCGATTATGATTTTTTTATACGTACTTTTTAGACAAAGTAAGGGTTGTGTGAAGTCTTCTAAAAAGTAAAATTACCCTTCCCATTGTAAATTTTGAGTTTTGGAATTCCAATTTTTCTTTACATTTCTTAATTTTTTTTTATTTATTTAACAAAATTAAATTCCACTCTTTTAATTTAAATTACAAATTTTCAACCTTGTTTTTTTATTATGCAATATTTAATTTCTTAATTTGATTACTTTAATATTTTTGAATTTTAGATTATTTGTAATTCTTTTATTATTTTATTATACATTTTTTCTAATTAAAAATATGAATTTAGTAAATGTTGGAGTTTGTATAACTAAGGGTCTGTTTGCAACCGCTTCTGCTTTTAAAAAAGTGCTTTTTTTAATGAAATGGGGAGAAGTGATTAAATAAAAGTTGATAGTGTTTGAGAAAAAAGTGATTTTGAAAAGTAAAAGTGAGTAGTGTTTGGTAAAATAAGTGCTTTTTGTGTAATAGAAAAAGTAAAAGCACTTTTGACGCGGAAGCCGAGAAAAATAAAAGTTGTAGTGTTTGAGAAAATAAGTGCTTTTTTAAAGCCAAAAGCTGAGAAGTGCTTTTTTAAAAACAGTTGCAAACAGACCCTAACAAGTCAAAGTGGATGTATAACAGAGGCAACCAACGTATACTAGAGATAGCTAACTGCCACCGTGCCACGCACGCTTCTTTCAAAGTGGATGTATAACAGAGGCAACCAACGTATACTAGAGATAGCTAACTGCCACCGTGCCACGCACGCTTCTTTGAGGTATAACTCCTGTAGGTTGAAAAGTTTAACAAATCTACTTTTGAAAAGAATTTCGAACGTTGACAATAGTGAAAATACTCTCACGCTTTAGACTATTTGTGAAAATTTCCCTTTTTTTTTCCTTTACTTTGCTTTGGGCTTCATTCCACCATAGCCTTAACATAGTCTCCCCTGGTGTACAAACTCTACTTAATACATTACTCTCTAGTCTGTAGTTACCAAGTAAAGGTATATTCATGTTAGACCTGTACAAAAGCGGGTTCGGGCCGGGCTCGGGCCGGGCTTTTCATAAGTTTTATGCCCGTCGTGTGTAGGCGGGCCCGGCCCGCAAAAACGGGCCTAACCCCATGTCCATACCCGCCCGTAAGAGCGGGCCGGGTAGTCCACCGGGCCGCCGGGCCCGGTAAAACTTTAAATTTTTCAAAATTATATAATTTATTTAATACTTTATAAATAATATTAAAACATTTAAAAAATTGCTAATACGCTTATAATGTATATAGGCCTTTCATCACATACACAAAAAATATTTACACAAATATAATAATGAGAAACTATATCTAAAATTTAAAATTCAAGCACAAACTCTTGTCTTTAAGTGCAAAAATAGATATTATATTGGTTGGACTATTTGTTAAGAACTAAAAACTTAAATTTAAACATAATAAACTATAAATATGTATACAGATAAATTAGTAAATATGAAAATATACAAGTGTACATGTAAATAAATACATAAATTAGTATATATAAAAATATGTATATATACTAAATGTAGCGGACCGGGCTTATCGGCCCGAACGGGCCTACACCCTAACCCAAGCCCGCCCATATGTTGTTGCGGGCCGGGCCCGGGCCGGGCCGGTGGGTAAATATATATGCCCAAGCCCGCTAATTTGTGTGGGCGGGCCGGGCGGGCCGGGCGGGCCGGGCCGGGCCGGTTTTGTACAGGTCTAATTCATGTGTGGCACCTCCACAATTCACTATGACAATGCAAATCCCACTACTGAGTGCTAAATGGACATGAGGGACTGCACCACATCGTGGTGCCAACATGTCGGTCTTAATAAAAAGGTTAGAGTCCCAATCAATGGGTGGTGTTGATCCCCATAAGACCAACAATCATCCCAACACCAGCCTAAGAGTTTTACCTTTGACTTCGCTTTGATATCACTTATAGGATCAATTCACCCCCTTTTTTACAGGTTTTTTTGGTAAGTCGTCCATCCTTGTGATTTTTTGTCTCGATCTCGCTTAACTACAGACTTCTATGGTTAAATAGCATTCATATCCTTCTTAACACCAAATTGGTTATAAGGATGTGAACCCACTCTAATTAACACATTACTTTATAGTAACCAAGTCAAAGTAGATTCTTGTGAGGCACCCTGCAATCCACTACGATAATGCGGTTCCCCACTGCTGAGCAGTGGATGGAAATGAGGGTCTGCACCACATCATGGTGCCAACAGGTCCGATCTAATCAAAGGGTCAGGCCCCAAAGCAAAGGGTGGTGTTTATTCTCCATTATACCAACATTTTATTTGATCATTTTTTTATCAAACAACTTACACAAGTGAACCCAAATAAAACCAAAGTACCAATTTTCGGTTCGGTTAATAAACCAAACTGTTTTGCCTAGCCCTAGATGAATCCATAGAACTCACTTATGAATTTAAGTGATTCACCCCCAGGTGACCATTCAAATGAGGCGGCGGGGGAATTCTATAGAAAAATTAGTAAAAGTTGAAGAATATCAATTTGGAGATTTTTGGAGGGCGTGTATGAGTTTAACTGTTTAAGTGTTTGTCTGGGCTCAGGAAAACCCTTAAGAAGCTAGGAAACTGAAGTTAGAGAAAGATGATAAGGAATGGTTTTAAGTTTCAAATATGAAAAGCTCCGAGTTTTTGCTTTGTTTGTGGTCTTATTGATTATGCAAATCACTTATGTCCTTTGGAGTATAAAAATGGAAGTGGTGAGTTAATCAAACCATATGGTTGTGGCTTTGAGCATAGGTGGGAGAGGTATAAGCGTGGGGGAAATAAGTGGTTAGTTAAAGATAGAGCACAGATTGGTAGAGGGGAGCATAAGGGTGAGAGAATAGTACAGATACCCACAGAAGACATGGTTGTTGGAACTTGGCTATGGTGCCTTTTGCGAGCGGAGTCTTCTAATTAAGAGTTCGGTTAGGGGACAACTGTTAGCCGAGTGTGAAAGCCGAAGTGAAGACGTGTATTGTAACACTTGATATTTAATATAAACGGATTAATAGTACTACTCATACCAACAGAGGTGCATCTCCTTTTAAGGGAGCTCATTACCTAAGAACTCCAAAGTTAAGCGTGCTTGCTCGAGAGTAGTCTTGGGATGGGTGACCCCCTGGGAAGTTTCTCAGGGCGCGCATGAGTGAGGACAAAGTGCGCGGTAAAAGCTCGTGGTGGTTTGTGGGGACAGTACTATTGGTCCGAAGTAACTACCTCGGGTCCTGCGGGGCCGGGGTGTTACAGGTGGTATCAGAGCAACCCTGCGACAGTGTGTGGACCCGTTGGATATCGGGCGGGCACTTAGCGGGGGAAGATTCTGGGATTTGATTGAGATTTGAGATTGGTTTATGGGCGCAACGAGGACGTTGCGTTCCTAAGTGGGGGTGATTGTAACACTTGATATTCAATATAAACGGATTAATAGTACTGATGGAGTATTAATTCTAGAGAGAAGTGAGAGCTAGAGAGAGAAAGTGAGTAATTGTATTTCTCAACTTGTAACCCCCTATAATTAGCCCCTTGGGGTCTATTTATAGGTAAAAATGTGGATTTGGGCCCCTAGCCTTGGGCTTAGGAGGCCCATTACAATAATCATGCCTTCTTTGGGCGAATAAGGCCACTAATGGGCTGAGTACAACACTCAGTACAAAAAATAGGAAAATACATTCTGCCCGGACGAAGTCCGGACGAAGCGGTTTACGGACGATGCGGTCCATGGACGACGCGGTCCATGGACGATGCGGTCCATAGAAATCAGGCGATATCTTCTCTCTTGGACGCTACGTGCCTCTGGACGATGCGGGTGTCCCGCTGGTGTCTTTTGGGCCGTTGAGTATGTGGGCCATGGGGTCCAGGCCCATATACTCTATCAGGAGTCCCCCACTCTCTGAGCTGAGGTGAAACCGAAGCGAAAGGGAGTACTTGTTCCTTTCTGGCTGGCCGTTGCGTGAGTCTAAGGCGTTTGATGGCCGACGAGTTCCTGCTTCGATTTTGGATGAAGCGGTTCCCTTATTTGATGTAGATGAAGCGTGCTTGGGAACTCATAGCCTTGATGCGGGCCGATGCACACTCTGTGGAAGTGCCTTTGAAGACGAGGCGATGCGCTTTCTTTTTTGTAGATGATGCGATGAATCCTTGGTGGATAAGTTGGCATGCTTTCGTCGTC